GGGTACTTGGCAACTACTCCCTCTATCTCCGGCGGCATTTTCACCGGCTCGCCTGCAGCAGAGACATAAACTACGTACATACCCTCCTCCTGCTTTTGCTTATAATAATTGTAAAACGCGGCCGCACACATGCACCCGTAGGACTCAATCAGACTACTAGCTTTGAACTTATGTAATCTGGCGGTCCCTCCACCTGGCAGAGTGTGTTTGACCACTTTTCGGTCCCAGTCAAACTGGGGTTGTGCCACAGAGAGGTAGTACATACCTAACAACATGTCCATGGGGAGTTCATTGCTTACTAGGAACGAGACTCGATGCCTCAAGTCCCCTCCCGCGTACGGGAAACAACACTACATCCTGGAGGTAGTCGTTAACTACCATGCGCTGTTTGTTGGTACAGGTCAACTCCACAGGTCGACTCAGGCGCTGCACTCGCCCCTGTAAGCGCAGTCTCTCAACGCACGCGCGACTAATAAAGTTCCGTGTCGAGCAAGTGTCATAATAGGCCCCGGCCTTGCGGCCGCCAATAACAACCTCGCTGACGAACATCTCACCCTTAGGACCTTTGACTAAGGCCGTCCAAGAAGCTAGCGGGTCTAATCTAGACCACTCTACCTCTAGCTCCTCTAAGGACTCAAACACATTCATCGAACAGAGGGTCGATGGGTCTAAATGTGCTTGCGGGACAACTGAAGAGTCAATAGCTTGGGCCATCTCTCGCGAAGGTGAGGGTGTTTCCACCACCGCGACCCTAGTAGGAACAGCTACTATTCCTATTGGCCCGACGTGTTTCCCAGAGCGGTGCCTGAAAAACTGGCAACGTTGCTACCAACGGGAGTGGAGGATCCTACCGCCGGCCCCATTGTAGGCGGGACCTTCTCGGTGACCTTCCTGTTTCGGCACTTGTACATGCTATGGCCATACTGACCACACTTGATACAAGCTTGCCAGGCCCACCGATCTCTCCACACGTCCTCTGATAGACCCGCTTTCTCCCATGGAGGGGCGTTGGGGTCTGTTTGACTCTTTGACCGGGATCCCCTAGGGCGTCGACCGGTCCCTTTACCTTTTTGCGCTACGGCAGCGACCACTCCACCCTCTGAAGCGTCTAAGTTGCCTGCCTCTGAACCTACTCCCTCATGGAGGTTGTCGTCCAACTTGATGGTTGAWCCATCGTTGTCGACAAACATTAAGCGACCCTTCGCCTTCTAGTTAGGAGGCAGTGTCTTCTTTCTCCCTTCCGTAGTGGGTGCCTGTCCATGCCCTATCTTTGCTTCCAAGTCTAGGGCCACCTTGCTAAACGAAGGAAAGTTGTGCATATTGATGTTGGCCTCTTTTGCCAACTGGTTCCTGAGAGGYTGTGAAAAACATCTCARGTACGAAGTCAACAGGACCTGAGGATCATAGCGTACCCCAGGGACACAGATCAAACGCTCAACAGCGTCGGTGGCTTCCCTTACTGACTTAAACTGCCGCGTGTGCAGTGTCAGGATCGTGTCAGTGGCCCTTTGAGCCTCCTGAGGATCATGCCACCTTTCTTCCACCATCTTCAGGAAGTCCTCCAATTTCTGGGAGGCCGCCCAAGCGCGAAAGTCATGACCGTATCCTTGAAATTGTACTAGACCACTCAACCATCTCGCTGCACTACCCTCGAGGTAGGAGGCAGCAACAAGCACTTCTTCGTGCGGCAAGGTGAGTTTGCACCTGACGTAGACCGGCACTGCCCTCAACCATGTGTCGAGGTCCTCGCCTCTCTTGTCCCCTGTAAAAGGTTCAGGAGCGGCGATGGCCGTCTTCGGAACCCACTGTGTTTGTCCCGGTCCCTGCATCATTCCAGGTTGTGGACCCGGTGAAACAGGTTGCTGTACTAGCTGTTGGGTTGTGTGCCCTGAGGCTGCACTGACTGCGAGACAGCAGGCTGCGTGGTGACTCCAACCTGTGATGGACTTGGATTAAACACTGTCTGTACAGGAACCTGTAAACTACTCCCTGCTATTACCCCTCCTGACAGCGGCATGCCCAAGGAAACGATAGCAATCGTTGATGGGGCTACATATGGGGATACCCCAGTCACCGGTGGGAGAGAGAAGGGAGGATATGGCATGGGCCAGGCACCAGGCCCGGCTGGTGATGGTGTTGCCTGAGCACGGCCTGACAGAACGGCCAGGCTCAGGCCGTGCTCAGTTGAATGTCCTGAAGGATGGTAGTTTGGTGCTCCTGCATTTCTATAACCCCTAGCAGGGCCTTCCTAACTACTCTCACATCATCATCCATATGCGTCAGACACATCATTTCTAACTCCCCTATGTCTGCCTCTCTTCGCTGCATCCTGGCTCTTCTTCTGATCATCTTTTCTTTTTCCGCTTCTATCTCCCCTAATGCCCGCTGTAGCTGTCCCTCCTGCAGGGCTGCCTGCTGGATGGCGACATCCTCTGGAGTCAATATCGCGGCCTGGCTTGCCATAATGTCAGGGGACTGACTCACGGTCTGCGCGACCGTTGACCCGACGGCACCTGAACTACTGGCTTGGGAAGTCTGCTGCGCAGAAGTGGACATGGTTGTAGTAGCCATGGCTGCTGTAGCACCAGCCTCACTCATTAAAGTCTGGCCGGCCTCGGCTGCTCTGGCCCTCCTCTGTGCCCGCTCTCTCTCCCTCTGCTGGCGGAACAGATGTCGATCACCCTCCGGTCCTAAAGACATGTGGGCTACGGGCCCCTCGCTGATTGCAAGATCCTGCGGTCGTCCTCTCCGGTGTTCTCCTCGTCGCTCATAGGCTACAGCGCTGTGCACTGTCTACACTAGAACATACAAGATGTCTACCATAGCATAGTACACGGACCAATTAATTAATTGGTGGCTATTTCGGAGTAGATATCACTTGAGGTCAACAGGTAAGTCAGATTCCTACAACTGAAACTATTTTTAGTATGACTAGTCCACGAACARAAACATCAGGAACAATCAACAGTTCTAACTAATGTTGTCTGTCAGATGTCAATGGCAGTCCATCTAACTAATCAAAACATAAAAAATAGAATCACTTGTGTGTATAGGACAACATGGAATTTTCTCGAACTTGTCACCTGGAATCAACCCCTCCCTCCAATCTACACTTGAGTATCTCTTGACGTCAGCGTCCTGAGCAATCGGGTAGCATGCGTGACTGAAGGTGTGCAATCCGGTCCCACCCCTGTGCCCCAGGTTATCGTCGAGCAAGGCAGCCACAACACTCTTATTTATCCTCGTACGCCGACGAGCCTTACACCCGGTTGATCTGGCTGATCAAGAGGCAATTTAACGTCCGCCCCCAAGTGACATCAGGAATTATTTTACGATGCAACAGGACGACGATCACAGCCAGATCAAAGCCGACTCCCCAACCAGAAATGTTTATAGACGGTCTGGTAAGCGTCTCAAGAGGCTGCCACACCCGAGTTAACCTCTATCTGCGCAAGCAGCAGAACCAAAGACTTGCAGCGAAGCATGCGTGTACTACACCCAGTGGGTTGGCATGGTGACCGTGACCCAGTGCTTCGTCCAGGGCCCTTCAGAAAGCAATGCCCTCCTCCCCCTGATGCTCCACAGGAAGTATGCCGACTCTCAAGGTTGAGTGCACTCGACACCTCACGATGAGAGGACTCTCAAGTTAGATCACAAAACCTCACGGTAAGAAGTGTTGGAGAGGGTAGATAAGGTTGGGAGTAACGTACCTCAATATTGCTGCCCCCAACCACAGAGATAATCTCACCAGATGA